ACTCCTTCAACACATGATTGAGAACAATTAAGAAAATATTCTATTTCTGGAAGTGAGACAATTATGGTTCAATATGGGGGGGGGTATGAGAAAGAAAAACTCGCACAATTCACACCTAAGTGAGGAATAATACCTAGCACAAAATCTGAAATATGAAGAGATGAGATCATCAAAACCAATTTGACACATGTTGGTGCTATTTTAAATTTAGCAGAAATGCACCCAACCATGTAAACATAGTCATGCAAACTAGGAAAACGACTCTTCCAACCAGTAATGGTAACAACTCTTGCTAGAGCCATTTAATGTCACCTGTTCTATATACTAACAGAAATAGCTACCGACATTTAGTGAACACTAGCATTGAAATAAGTGTGTTACCACTCATAGCAGCATAAATACTTATCCCTCATCCATATAGACTACAACCTGCAAATAGCATGAGGATAGACACTTAAGGCAGGAAAACTCTTAGCACTAAACAACAAATTGCATTGTGATTTCCACTGATCTTTCATACAGGCCCATGTGAAAACATTTATCTTTGGGGCAGATTTTCTAACCCATTACAATCTATGAGACAATATGAAACAAACATCTAAATCACTGGAATCAAAACTCAGTGACAGGAATCATCATTGTAACATCACATAGGACCTAGTCTATAGGAATCATAAATTAATGTACATAAACAGCAAATTGACACCATAAAACATCAGAGCAGACCCCACATAAATTATCAGCCAATCTGTGTACTCACTTCCATGTTGACTGTATTCTGAAAACTACAGGGTTGAAAAAGGCTGTTACCTGAAGGGATTGTCAGTCCTGAATTTTCATACATTTCATCCCTACATCTAGCCCCCCAAGATGAACAACTCGGGTTTCTATTCATGCATTGATTTTATGAAAATGATTTAAACTGCACATAAGATGAATTAGTTTTCTGTACATCTTTATCTCTACTAGAACAGTACTTTGATGAAGACAAACAAATACAATCATTAAGGGCCTAAAAGATGTCCCAGCTCCAATTTACACCCACTTGACATACTACAACATAATTATTTGCACTCAAAAACCTTTACAACTGCAAGTGCATATTTGTTTGAAATGATGCAGTAAAATTCACTCACAGTAAACTACCAAGGTTCTCTGCATAAAGCATTTGACAGAGCAAACAAATTCTTCATGATACAAAAATGAAAAAACAAGACAGCATTGCCAGAGACAGGATAAATCTGCCTTTTTTGGAGGAACAACAAGAATCCTACATTGATTTCAGAAAAGCACAGAAAATATCAATAGAAGATTAAGAAAATGCAACATAGTGCAAGTGCAAGAAAATATCAAAATAAAGACTTAGATCATCAGGTAGGAAAAGTACTCCTGCCACCCAGACACTTCAGAACTTTTATTAAATACGAGAAATTGGCTTATACCTTATCAATCTAATGGTGTTAGGGTGGAGGTGTGTGTTGGGCATCTGAAGAACAAATTAACTACATGAGCAAGGGGCCTAGACATGCTGATGCTAGACTGGAGTGACATAGGGATGAAGCACAGGATGACCTTTCACCAGTTATGCTTAGTTTACAGTAGGCACTAATGTGATGCTGTTTGATGAATAAGTATTAGTTTCACTTCTGGGAAACTGAACAAAAAATTTTTTTTTTTTTTTTTTTTTTCCTCAGGACACTACAGGAGACAGACCTGTTCAAATTTAGCAGCATGTACAATCCCCAATTTTCACCAAGAAAAACTTAGTGTTTTAAATGAAGGACAAAAACAGAGTGAACATACTAAGTAAGTCTAATTGAAAATTTTTACAAGCAATTTGTATTAATATTTCTATATACAGGAAACTACCATATACATACCCCTCCTCATCATTATTTACTTTCTATCCTCTTGGAGACTTTATTTGCATTCACCAAATAAATTCTTGTAATTTGTTTAAATATTCTTCGTTGCTTTATTTCAGAAAGGAGAAAAAAGAAAGCTCACTTTGTTCATTCTGCCTTTTCTTTTGGTTAGTCCTTTGATTTCTTTTGGTTTCTTTTTATGTGCCATGTCCTTTCGGGACGTAGCTGATCATGGCTCTCCACCTCCCTCTATCCCTTACAGCTCTCAACAACTTCCTTCCCTCTGTCACCTCCCCCATACCATGTTCTGTCATCCACTTGCTTAAGCCCGCCAGATATGTCACACGTTGTTTTCCCTTGTTTCTCTTTCCCTCTATTCAACCTGTATGTATCGGATTCTCCAGGATCTCCTTCCTCATTATGTGTCCCAGAAACTTCAGATGCCTCTTCTTGATGTTAAGTATAAACCTTCCCCTTGTTTGCATCCTCTCTAAGACCTCATCGTTGCTCACATGCTCAGTCCATGATATCCTTAGCATCCTTCTGTAGAACTACATCTCTGTCACCTTGAGTATCTTCTTCATCTTTGAGGAACTCATCCAACATTCACTGCTGTAAAGAAGGACAGACGTCATGTAACAGCTCAGTATTCTTTTCTTTGTTAACAAAGAAATCCTCCTGTCTTGCAATACTCTGCCCAGGTTTTGGAATGTGTCTTTGGCCATCCCAATACGTCTACAGATCTCAGTGTCTCATTTACCGACCCTTGTCAGAATGCTTCCCAGATATTTAAACTTCTGCATCTGCTTGATTCTAGTGTTTCCGATCTACAAATCGCATTTCAGGCTCTACTTAATTCATAAGTTGGCGACACCTGACTGCCTAAGTAAGACTATAACTGACTGATGATAACTTCTATCAACAAAGCTAATATCTATCATAGCAGCAGTCACTTTCTCTCCATAATTTTAGAGTAGCAACCAGTGCTACTAGTTCCATCATAAAGTTATCATCCAGCTTCTTGCTACAGCAAAAATATATATATATATATATATATATATATATATATATATATATATATACACATACTACAGTACAAAAGTTTGAAGACACCTCCAGAATTAGCTGGGGATGAACTTGACAAAAGAATAGAAAAAAAAAAGAAAAAAGATTTATTAGAGTCACTGAAAAAAGAATGGAATCAATTATCAAACTTATACTTTGAGAAACTTTTGCAGCAAATGCCAAAAATTCATGCTACAGTAATCAAGACCAAAGAGGATATTTTGACAAGAGCAAAATTTAATCATAAAATGCTTTTTATCTTTGTGTCATAATAAAATTTTTAATAATGTCCCACTTTTTTTTAACCATATGTAATAATGTTCACTTATTTCAAGTACAAAACAACTGCTTTTGGGGCCAATTTAAAAAATTACCAGGGAGGCCATGTTAAAATGAAATTCATCAAGGAAGGCATCATAGTTTTTTTCTAACACAAGTACTTTCGATCTTTCCTAAGATCATCTTCAGGGGTAAAGTACAAAGACAAACTTATTGTAACTGCTATAAAATCTGTTTTTCGTTGTGACAGCAATTTTTAAAAACACGCGCTAATGTGCATAAAAATAGATTCAATATGTCTGAATTATTCAATGAAACATGTTTGAATGAAGATGTGCTGTGTATATATATATATATATATATATATATATATATATATATATGTGTGTGTGTGTGTACACAATGTAAAATAAACAATCAATATTCAGTTCACATCTTTAATATTAACACTACCCTAATAAATAAAATAAACACAAATGAAAAAAAATTAAATATCACTTAAAAATCCAATTCTTAATATCATACACCCACTTCTATATTATTTTCACTATACATGAGAGACTAATTCAAATAGTTGTATTACTTAACCAGCTCAATTACATTTTTTTAGACAAGAAATATTCACAATTATCTCTAAATTCATTTAAAAAAAAAAAAAAAAAAAAAAAAAAAAAAAAAACTCAAGTCCAATTTTAACAAAATTTTCTCATTTTTTTTAGAATAATTATTTTAAATACTATGCATAATTGCCAGCAGGCAACTCTAGTTAAAATGTTTAATGTTATATTTTAAAAAATTCCCCACTGATGATAACTAAGTGTAACAATTGTAGGATATTACAATTAGATTTGAACTGAAATATTAACTAGAGAAAAATAAGCCATTTGACAAATCTGATTCATTAAACTTGATCTGATGAGAAAATCAATAAGAAAATGTCATTTGTTAGATTAAATATTTAAGATATGTAATTGGATTTATGGAAAGTTCTTATTAGTAGTTTCTTTTAAAATAGTATAAATGGAACTCTTTTTGTAAACAGTCTCATCTTCATAAAGGTGGCACTGCGGGTGTTATTTTAAAAAAGTATATCCATTTATTATAAAATAAAAAAATTCTAAACCAGACTTAATAATATGAAGTCACCTAGAACGTTTAATATGAATCCATGCTATGCAAAAGGCCATAATGATGGGAAACAAAGAAACAGGTTAGTCTGCCTGTCTCTCTCATAAGAAATGATGTAATTTAATTTACACTTTAAACACTTCCTTGAATACGAGAGGCTAAGCTCTAAGAAATAGTGTAGGTAAAAATCAGAATGAATGGATTTTGATGTTGTCTCAGTCATTTAGATACATATTAAAAACAACATAGATCTGATAGGTAAACAGAAACTCATGTACATTAAATGTGATAAAGAAAGAATTTAAAGAATTTCTCTTTAAAAACAGAAGTCATCCTTTTGAAATTTAATGCAGAAAAAGTGCAAGGATAAAATTTTACTAATCACCATGATGCAAGTTATACAATAACAATGATACTATTTAAAACAGGTTTCACATGCCTATAAATCGTGTAGAGAAATAAACAGAATTTCTTTCCCCAATCTACATAGAGAACTGGTTTCAGTTTACATGATTCTAACTGAGTCAGCCCTTTGTATGTGTGGATTTCACATCTATGAAGTCAACCAACTATAGATCAAAAATATTCAGGGAAAGAAAAATAAAGAAAAAAAAAAATTCCATAGAATTCTCATCAAAAGCAATACTTGAATTTTCCACTCACAGAACATTATCCTGAATCTATGTGAATGAAGAGATGAGTAGATATACTATTCAGTAGCTTTCTGTCATTTCACACATCCTGTCTTTTGGCCATTGTTCCTGCATTGTTTGCTTTGTGTCTCCTTGTGTGCACCCTGTTTTTCTCTCTGAAATTTGGAATGGAAATATTTTATTTAATAAGAACCAAAAAGTTATTAAAATCCATTAATTAATTGATTTTTGGTGGATATTTAAAATTGTGATGCTTTTTGCCTAAAAAATATTCTAATGTAAATTATGCTTTTCTTTTTATACTGGTAAACAATTTTTGACACTGTCACTTTTCATGAATATACTTAGTTTAACAAAGTGTATACAATTTTATATCAGAATTTTCTCCAGTTTTTCTAATTAATGATGTAAACCTGAAATGGGGCCATCACACAGCTTTCTACCAACTGGCTAATGACTACCCAATGTTGCATCTCCATTACTGTTCACGTTAGTGTGCCAAAAACTGAGTAAGGTTCACTGCACGTTCACAAGGAAAAGAAAGATGAAAACAAATGCCATGCTGAGAAATGAGGACACACACCATTTTCAATATATCTGGGCATTTTATTCAGGACTTTCTTTGTTTTGTCTGGGTGGGTAGGTAGGTGACACTTGGGACAACTTCAGTCATGTTGGAGTAACAGCTCAGATCTTCCTTTCAACTCTTCCTCCTACTTACTCGCTGTCCCCTTTAATATCATGACACGTGGCTGACAACCCAAGAGACTGATTGTCCCCCAACAAAGGCAGACCAGAACTGAGTACTTCAATCCTAACTGTGACAGTTAATATAGACCAGCAATGAGACATCATCAATGTCTGGCTTGTTGTCACATGGCCCCAGAATATCTCATTTACTTATTTGTTTTTCCACTTAGAAAACCCAACTTCAAAGACCGGGCAGAAACAATTGAGATAAAAATTACTATTTGGGTGTTCCATTCATAGTAACAGAAGGGAAAAAAGATTTTGATGATAAAATACAATCATACAAGTTTAGCACCCCACCCACCAACAAAGTCTTTTGTCTATATCTACAGCCAAATGACTATATTAGTTGTTATTAGGTATTATAAGTAATCTAGAGATGGTTTAAAGTATTCATGACGATGTGCATAATTTATATACCAATTTGACACCATTTTATTGGGTTGTCTGGAAAGTTAATGGCGATTTTTAGTTGCTCATGTTCCAACACATTGGAACATTTCAAATTTATCAACAAATATGCTTACATTTGCCATTAGAGCACTCTTCAAACTATCTCATGAGAAAGAAAGTTTAAAATTACTTAATTTGTGTCAATTTTGCATCCCTATGAAAATGGAAGATAATAAGGTACATTTTAGCTACCATAAAGGCAAAAATACCTTGCAAGCAACAAAAAAGATATGTGCTGTGCATGGTGAAGGTGCTTTATCTGACAGAACTATACAGAAGTAGTTCACTAAGTTTAAAGTTGGTGATTGTAGCCTTATTGGTGAAGGACACTCAGGTAGACCCCCCCCCCCAATAACAGATGCCGACCAAATCAAGATATTGACTGAGAATAACCTGCATTACACAATGCGGGAATTGGCAGAAACACTAAATTTATCAAAATGCACCATCTATGAGCACTTAGTGAAGCTTGGGTACTCAAATTGCTACAATGTTTGAGTACCACATGATCTGAGTGAAAAGAATTTTTTGAGTTACATTTCATCTGTGATTTGCTGTATAAACAATGAAAATGCATCCTTCTTGATGCAAATTGTGATGGGTGATGAAAAATGGATTAGTTACAACAATGTTCAGTGAAAAAGATCCTGAGGTAAGTGACATAAGTCAACTTTAGCCATCTCAAAAGCAGATCTTCATCCTAAGAAACTCATGCTGTCCGTCTGGTGGGATTGGAAAAGAATCCTGTACTATGAGCTTCACTCAAGTAGCCAGTCAATTGATTCTGGAAAGTCCTGCTCGCAACTGGATGAATTAAAAGACAGCAATTTAAGAAAAATCCCCAGAATTGGTAAACAGGAAAGGTGTAGTTTTTCATCAGGATAATGCCAGATTTCATGTTTCTTTGGCAACCCAGCAAAAATTGTTGTAGCTTGGCTAGGATATGTTACCTGACCCACCATATTCCCCAGACATTGCTCCTTTGGATTTTCATTTATTTAGGTCCTTGTAAAATAATCTCAATAGTAAAAATTTAAATTCTTTGGATGATATAAAAAAAAACAAAAAAACACCTTAATGAGTTCTTTGCCAAAAAACCATTGAAATTCTGGAATCTTTAAGATGAAATAAAAATGGAGAAAGGTTGTGCAACAAAATGGTTCATTTTTAGTTTAATAAATGTTTAATGCTATAATTTTGTTTTGTGTTTTAATTTCCCTTAAAAATCATCATGAAATTTCCAGACAACCCAACTAAGACTGTTTTTTACATTTACATAAATTGTAATCATTCTAAGTAATGTAGTTAATTGGAATAAGTGCTGCATAATTTGTTGCATATTTTAAATCTGTTTTTGAAAATAGATCCATTTTTCTGCTTTGTGTTTTTTCAACATTTGAGTACATTACCCAAAAAGGCATTTAAATAGGCATGTATTTTTATATGTAAATACAGCTAATATGATACATTGATTAGCAAGCAATTTTTAAGTCATTCTGACTATTTAGCTTCATCATAAATTTTTTGAAATTAAGTAGCAAAATGTTGCATTAATAAGGATTTTCCTACTTGTTCCTTATTTAATCATTCTGTCAGATTTAATCCCCATTTTCAGTTGGTGTGTGCAGGATTTATACATTCCTTTTCTTATGTATACAAGAATGTTCTATTTTAAATACTACTAAAAGGGTTTTTTAATATACATAAAAATAGAATTCTGTAACTTGGTAAATAATTAAATTCTATTATTGTAGTGTTATTATTAGTTGTGTGTGTAGTATATATATATATATATATATATATATATATATATATATATATATATATATACACACAAGTATATATATATATATATATATATATATATATATATATATATATATACACAACAAGTATATATATATATATATATATATATATATATATATATATATGAAACTTGAATAAATTATATATATATATTTTTTACAATAATGTTCACTTCTATACAAGGCTCAAGAGCAACTCGAGGTAGAGGGTTACAGAGTAAGAGTTAAGCTGCACAGTTTTTGAGGATATCTGGGTTAATCCTAGACTTGAACAGATTGTAGAGATTGGGGGAACATCATCTGAGGAGTTGGTTTCACATAGTAGTTCATGGGAAGAAGCTGTTCAAGTGGAACTTACGTCTCAGGCTCAGCAATGGAATATGAAGGGAATGAGGGTGGTTTGCTACAATGTGTGTGGCATGGTGGGTCTTAGCCATGAAGGTTAGAACTAGCAAAACTAAGAAATGCAGTTCGTCTGAACACTTTCCAAGGAAATAGTAAGAAGCTTGCAATGTTTTGTCTGTGAGAAAGAGGTTATTTTCATCACCCACAAGGCCAAGTATATGGTTTTGAACTCTATTGAGACTGAAAAGAGAAAACTGGGCAGCTCCTACAGATATATGTCAGCAGTACTCCATTTTCGACCTGATCTGGCTCTTATAAAGATAGAGGTGATCAGGAGGTGTCAGGTAGTTACTGGAGTGGTACAAGGAACCAACCATCTTTCCAGCATCTTTAGCAATGGATTGTATGTACAAGGTCCAATTGAGGTCTGGGGTGAGTGTAAGTCCTAATAGGTACTTAAGGTAAAGAGCCTCCATTAGAGAACATCCGTTCATTGCCATTCAGGTTCTGTTCAGAGGTCAGAGGAAAGATCAGCTAGCAGGCTCTAGTCATTTAGAATATTGGAGGTTCACCAACATACCATTGTATTAACAGTACAGATATACACCATAGATTGGAGTATAGACTTAGGATCATTAATGTAAAGTAAGAAGCGAGGAGGACTGAGAAGTGAGTCTTGGGGGATGCCTGCATTGATCACATGGGCCTTGGAGGAGTGGCTGTTAACAATTACCTTCAAGGACCTACCCGTTAAGAAGGACTTGATAATTAAGAAGACTCTCCCAATGATTCCATAGATGGAGAGCTCAGACAGCAACTCTTTATGCTACACCTTGTTGAAGGCCTTTAATATATCTAATGCAATCACCCTTAAGATGTATTTATTGTTCTAGTGCCTCACTAATTCTCTAATTAATGACAGTTAAGATATCAGCAGTGGACTGAGCTGATCAAAATCCATATTGTTTGTCATTCAAGAGGCTGTCCCTATTGAGGGCATCAACAACATTGTTGATTATAACCTCAAAAAGTTTGCTAAGGACACTAAGGAGGCAGATGGGCTGATACTGAGATGGGGGATGATCACTCACCCACATTGTTGAAAACAGGGCATACACTTGACACCTTCCATGGGCTTGAGAAGGATTTCTCCTTCAAGCAGCAGTTAAATAATTTTGCTAAGATTGGGGATAACGCAGGGCGGATAATCTTAAAGGATAACTAATAGAATGTTATCTGAACTGGTAACCATCTTACAGTTAATACTTTTGATAAGTCTTAAGATTTTCTGGTCTGTGATAAAAATATTACTAAGTTTGTGCTCTGTGAAGTGGGGTTTTTCCAAAAACTCCTGGTATCCAAGTTGTTTGTTTTCGAGCTTAGCCTAGACTGCTTATCCATAGCTGCTTTTAGCATTTTCTAGAACTCTCTTGCAATGATTTCCAGCATTTCTGAATGTACACCATTCCCTGTGATAGATATTGTAGTAGTGGTTATAGCTATGTGGCTATGGCTGCAGCATATTCAGGGGTGAACCAGGATGCCTATTTTGTTTTTACTGGATTTCTTTCTGGGGTATGAAACTTTATATTTCAGAAATGATCCATTTAGAGATGAGGGTAGCAGTTTTGGAGACAGTATGTTTGAAGAATGCTGAGAAAAGAGTTTTCAGTGTAAGATTTGAAGCTGTTTCAGTCGGCTTTCATGTACTGAAAAATAATTCTACAGTTTGGTTTAGCATTAATTTTAACATTGACTAGTGAATGATCAGAAGAGTCCAGTTAGAGTAACACTTCAGCAGTGCATTTTTCAGAGCAGGTTGATAGAAAGGAATCTAAGAAGTTCATCTGTTGCATCAGGAACATTGGTGGGCTCTTCAATGATCTGTGTCAGTTCGTAGGTGCTGGACAAGTTTTGACAGTGTCTGCCTGCATTGGTTTTGTTTGAGGTGAGTAACTACTCTTTGTGATGAATATTAAAGTTACCACAAAAGCTGAGGGATACTCAGAAGAAATAAAAACAAATTAAAAAGTTTTGTAGCTTGATTGCTTGTGAAAAAAAAAAACAAACTTTAAAACATCCCATTGTATATACTGACCAACTACATATGTTTATAAATTTCCGATTCAGATTATTTCTATATGGCAAATCTATTAAAAAGCCAGAAAGATCATGAATAGGAACACTTATCAATAACACAGAAACTGAAATCTTCATGTGTCAACAAAGCAAAAACTATGATGCAAATAAAACACAATAAGCAACAGGATCAAAGAAGCATGATGGAGGATGAAGCAAATCAGACAAACATGAAATTGAAAGAATAAAATCATTAAATATTTATATGCGAGAAAGATACCTTTTAAAAAGAAATTACTAAGGCCAAAATATATATATTTTACTCAAATGATAGAAACACGATAAATTAAACATCCACAACAGAGCATGGTATATTATTAAAATAAAAATGATTTTCTGAAAAACAATTGGAAAATGCTTTGACTGAAATAACATTAGCATTAGGCATAGAAACATGCATTTCACAAGGAGAGTTTAAGTTGACTGCTATATTTAAGAACAAAAAAAAAGGCCTTTTCTTTTTTAGAATTTTCATTTATTAATAAATATTCTTTACTAAAAGAAAATATTCTTAATTTTTTTTTTTACAATCACAGAAAATAAATAGTGAATAATCCCACCAACTAAAAATAAAATTACTAGTTAGGTTATTTCAAACAGTTAAAGCCTTTTATACAATAAAACAACACTAGCATTTATTTTAGAGTTCTCACAGCAGTAAACACAGCAGTCATTGAAAGAAAGTATTTGTCCTTATAAAATTTTTAAGTTGCCAATTTGAATTTTGATCTTTGCTATTAATTTATGTTTTGTGCATGTGTATATATATATATATATATATATATATATATATATAATACAAGCCTTTTTACTTTTGGTGACTAAAATCTACAGTACAAATGCAAATTACTTAAAGAAAAATATTGTTTGTTCTGACTGAAATGAGAGCAGAACTAGAAGAAAAAAATTGAATGATCCCAATCTTTAATAGTAGAATAATGAGACACTATTCACTATTGACAGCATTAAATTCTCAATGAATCAGAGTGACAAAACTAGGAAAAGAGAAAAGATACTATGAAGAATTACAAATACTCATATGGTTGAATGAAAATCATTTGAGAAACAAACTGCAACCAGCAAACTGGGCAACCAATAACAGAACAACTTCAAAAATAAAAGAATAGAAAGATATGAGAAAAAAAAAAAATAAAGTAAAATGATATGAATAATTTTTTTTAAGCACACTGACATGTATACAGGACATAAAGGGCCAAGCACCATTCATAGTGGAGTTGAGACAGAGAGAGAAAAAAAAGGTTGAAAGTGAAAGAGAAAATAAATATATAAGAAAAGTAGACATGAAGGAAAAAACACTGAACAAGACAATGAAACTTTATGAAGAACTAAATATACTTGTCATTTTCATAAATTTGTACAGGTTGTTTAAGGTTTTTTTTTTTTTTATTTCATATGTATGTAGTAATGAGCATCACCAATTTAGCACATAAATTGTTACTCCAATGCTATGTCATTAATCCAAATGAAAAATGCTTAGCTATTGATTATCATCCTGCTATGACAATTTTTTTTCCTTTCCTGGGGATATAATTAACTCTTTCTATCAGCAGTGATGCAATTTCAGGTTTTTCAGAGGAACAGTCAAAATAATCCTCTTTAAAGAACAGCTTAATCAAGTAGCAGATTCCTCTATGATAAACATGAGATGAAGATAGGTAAATTGGAAAGTTCAAGTTCAGCCTGACATTTAGGGAAACTGAAAAATAAATAAGTTATTTATACTATATGCATATTGAGGATAAAACTATCAAGAGAAACTTTTTATGGCAAAATGATTTCCCTCTTCAAAATGTACATGGAGAAATTCATTGAAGACATTGTTGAAGTTGAAGCTCTCAAACTTCTTAGTCTAGTTTTATACTCAACAATTCATTCATTCACACACATCTCAGGTTTTAAATTCAGAGGTGTCCTTTTCCTAGGCTGACTGCAAACCAAAAGTAAAATGCTCAGCCTGTCCTACTATTTAACCCTTAGCTTAGGGGAGACCAGATGGATTCATACCTTTCCTAAGAGTATTTGCACACAAATGAATGTAACAAACCTGACTGTAGTTTGAACTCAGCTCCCCAATTTTTCATTCAGAGCTGCTATCCACTACACTACCTGCATATCCATATATAAATTTAAAAGAAAAGGGACATTGTTAATTGTCTAGTATTTACATTATTCGGACTATTGTCCTCATGTTTGTCGCCATATTTATTACAATGTTTTGGCCTCAAACTCCGCCTGTTTGTGTCGCCATTTATTTCTGTTCCACATGCCATGTTTAATTGATGTCGTTTTTGTGGCCTAAAAAAATCTCCCTGAGCCGACCAAGCCTAGAAATGAATTTAACAAGTGGTTGCCAGAGAAAAGCAATAGTAACAAAAGTTGCAATATAAACTCTGGTAAAAACATGGAATGAAACAGCAAAAATTGCAATATGAACACTGGTAAAAATGGTTGCTGAACATTAGGTTTATTTTGGATAAAGGCGTTGGTTAGATCCAGTGACAGGACCCAAAGAGTGGAGTTCAATACCCGTTAAGGCAGTGGAGAACTTTCAGAGGGAAATTAACAGGAGATAACTGACATCCATTAAACGTGGCACATGGAACTCTACCCCAGTGAAAAAGGGTTAAGTTCCCAACCAAAAGAAGGCCAAATGTTGTAATAAATATGGCGATAAAGATGAGGACAATAGTCCAATAATGTAAATAGTGCACATAGTACCTCATCTCAGAAATATAGACAGATACTGTCTAGTATTGTATATCTGTATACATGATAACACTTTTTGTATCAGTTTATTTAGACGAGGAAACTTTTGAAACAATATCAAAAAAAGATAAGACATAACCAAAGAAGTACAGAAGTTATCACAGTAGCAATATAATAAAGGACAGGGGGAAAGTGGACACCATTGTACTAAAAGTTGAAATAGCCATTTAAAACAGAGGAAGATATAACAAGTTAATATTTGAACAATTACTGCATCCTTTCCTTATTTTTTTCAATGTTAACTATTGAATACAAGTTTACAAATATGCAGAGATTGTTCTATCATTGTCTTTTAAATAATATGGTAAAGCATAAAAAAGATATTTTACCAAAGTTCATATATATTTCTTTCATTGAAGAAGATTTTTATAAATGGTTTTATAAGGACAAATAAGGTGTATCCATCTATGATCAATAAAGGTCAAATCAAATGCACACTAATGTATATGCTTTATTTAGACGGGATTGAACAACTCAAAAAATGTTGGTTCAGAACAATATAGGTAGGATTTTAATGCATTATTGAATTGTGAAGTGAATTTTCTATCATTGTGAGATAAAGAAATAAAAGAATGTGAAAAATGATATGCAGAAATCAGGAGAGCTTTGAGAGAGAGAAAGAGAGATCAAGAAATATAGATTCCATTGCCAAACCATTAGAACAGAACAAATGAATTGGAAGGAATAGAAAGAAAAAGAGAATAGAATAAAATGAAAGTGGACAGACTTTTAGTGGGTGTGGGGAGAGATGGGCTGGGGAGGGGATAATATTCATTTGGCAAAAAGAGACTCACAAGAATGACAGGCCAAAATCAACAAGCAGGGGTATGTGCGGGGTAACACTCACAAACAGGACAAGTCCATTCCACAAGCCGTAAAAGACTTCAAGCTCTCTGTACACTATCATCTTCAGGGATTTCACTATAAAAGGTTCCATGTTTTTTAAGACAGCCTTTCGTTTTCCATGCTGGATTCCTAAAAAAAATTTACAGAAAATTTGGATGTTCAGGTATTTTTCAGATCTCTTTTTTTAATATATATGCTGATGAACAAACACGTGTGTATAGATGCGTAATGTGCATTTAAAATAATGGAGGATGAAAACTGGTATAAAAACATATGCACATCTATAAGTGTGTTTGAAAATTCTGGATTGAACAGAATGGAAGAGCACGGCAATTCTTCAGAGATGTGAACATACATGAAAGACCAAAAAAATTTATGAAATACAAGTTTATAAAAAAAAGTTTGTAACATCTAAAACATTTTTTCTTCTTGATTTCATAAAATAACAAACATTAAAACAAAATGTATGCTTAAAAACATTTTGCTTTAAACTAGCAAATAACATAGTAAGGAGTGCGGAATAATTCATCAAAATATAATTTTGACATTATCATAGACAGTTTTGCAGTAAAACAAAAAAAATTTTTACAAATTGCATTTGTAAATTTCAGGTGCCACGAAACCAGGTACACTGTACCTGAGAATCAACTCCAAGTAGAAAAATAAAAAATTCATAAAATCATGAATGGAGCTGCATTGGACATAATTTTAAAAGTATTTCAGCTCAATTCAAATAATAGCAAAGTGATATAACTCTGTTGTTGCTGTTATATGCAATGTCAATTGTCAGGTACAATGCATATAAGCTTGTAGAGAAGATATATAGTTAGTCTAAATAGACTTTAAAATTAAAGACAATTCTGTAAGGAGCTTGAGATAAGGAAGGTGATGTAATTAAATGCTGGTGAAAATTTATAAATATAAACATATTGGAAAGAATTTTTTGTCATAAAAATTACCTGTAATAGTACAAATACTGAAAGGGTTGCTAACAAAAATACATGGCTAATATCCTCATTACTATTTTTTTTAATTTTTAAAATCATACATCACATTGTCTAAAAGTAAATTTTATTTTTCAACCAAACTCAGCTTAGAAGAGGATGTATAGTGGGGGTGGGTTACCCCCTCGCTTTCCCACAGATGAAACATTACAAACCTCTTGCTAGTGTTATTTCCATGGAAAATGGGCTGATGAGGTACATTCCTTAGTTCAACCAGTCCTGACATTTGCAGCTAAGACCTGTCATGCCACTTACACTGAGATGAATCATTCTCATTCACTTTGAATTGCATACAGTTCAAAATGAAAATGATATTCTCCTCTAAATAATTACTCATGTAACAAAGCATTGGATGTACTGTTAGTGTAATGATTAGTGAATTGGAAACAGGAATCAGTAAGTTGAATTTGATTTGTTCATTTTCGCACAAATACTCTTGAGAAAAGGTATGATTACATCTCTTCTTCTCCAGCTATGGGTTAAATAGCAGGGCAAAGTGGACTCTCTAGCTGTGGTTGACAGGCAATGTAGAAGAAGGGCAACTTTGAATTAAAAACTATGTAACCTACAGGCATACTATATAGTCATGGAAAAGTTATTATCTACAATAACTGCAGTACAGAATTGTGGACAACAATATCAACTGAGGTCAAACTGTACTATACTGCAACAAATATTGCATTGTAGCCACATCATTGTTTTACATTTCTAACAAACTATGCAAGTTTAAATGTTTCTCATTGGTGATTAATTTGTGAGAGGTACATTAGTACCGGATGCAAGTTAGAAGTTACTTGGGTTTCTTTTTCCAGCATTGGTTCTAATATTTTAGATGGTATTTATCAATCCACCCACGGGGATCGAATGTGACACAAGGCCTTTTAATGTGGGTATCTCCCGAGCCCGTAGGGCCCAGCCAAAAATAAATAACCATCCAAACCCGCCGAGGTGGGCCAGTTCCGGCAACCTCCCCCAAACGAAACCCTACCCTTCGCAGAGTTCGTCCGGGTTCCTCTTTGCAAGCAGAGAGTTAGACAGACACCCGACACGGCAGCTCACAAAGCGCAGATACTACACTTTGATCCTAGCCACCGTGCCGAGCGGGTATTCTTTTTATAGAATATATATATATATATATATATATATATATATATATATATATATACATACATACATACATATATATATATATATATATAGTTCTAATATTTTAGATGGAAACACACAGAAATTTGTGACTATACAAATTTGATTCAGTAAATCCCTTCCCACTGCTTATGTGAATCGTACACATCAAAGTGACAAACATAACCAAGATGATACAAACACTTGGATATTTTGAGTATGTTGGTCATATCCTGCATTAAAAAATGTTAATTATTGTTCAAATAATATCTTCATTTGCTTGCCATCAGCCTCACCTGGTCTATCTGACTGTAGAGCATTGTTCAGTAAGAAATCTCTGGCATAAAATTTTGCCAACCACTTTTGACATATTCAGTCATTCACAATAACTTCTCCATAAACTGACAAAGTCTTTGGGGTTGCTATTTTTTTGCATTTCTGTTGTATTTTTACCTTTCTTAAAAATAATATGCCAAAAATGTTACTTAGTTTCTACCATCTTCAACATTAGAATCAAACAAAAACATTTAAAAAAAAAAAA